AGGTGCCCCTGGTTTTATTTTATTTTTTCTATAAATATTCACTTCAGTATAGTTCTGGGCAAGAGAATATTCTTGTATCTAAAAGATAGAATTACTCCAAGGATTAAATACTCATATCTTAGTTTGTGTCCTGGAGTAACATCACTCTCTGATTTCCTTCCTTTCTATTTTCTGGTCTGCTGCCTATTTCTCTGATCTTTCTTCTTGCTCTTCTTTGGAGGTTTATCTTCCTCTGTACAACTCTTAAATATTGGTCATTCTTAAGACACTGTTCTTGTCCTTGTTTCTTGTCAACGAAACTACTCTCCTTAAATGACTTTTTTCATTATCATGGCTTTAACTATCACCTAATGCATGTGATTCCCAAATCCATGACTTTGGACTAGTTATCTCTCATGAACTCCAAAACAATTTGGTTAATTCCTTCTTGGACGTATCCACCTGTATGTCTCATAGGCACATCAACCACATCATGTTAAAACTATATTCTTTTTCAGGCCTTGCCATAAATATATTCTCCCCAAAGTGTTCTTTGTATAAGTGAATGAAGCCACCTCTATATACAACCACATAAACCAGCAACCTGGGAAGCATCCAAGGTCTGCTTTTTGCCTCACCACACACAAAATGTCACTAAATATTGTTACAGTAAAACCTTGGATTGCAGGTAACTTGTTCTGCGAGTGTTTTGCAAGATAAACAAACATTTCTAATAAATTTTAACTTGGTAAATGAGTGATGTCTTGCAATACAAGTCATACCTAACACCAAACGTCTATCACATGATCACAACTGAGCCAATGGCTCTTTTCTCTCTGTCTCTCTCTCTGTCTCTCTCTGGGATTGTGGGTGATCAGCTCTCATGCTTGGATGCTCCATCTCAGGCCACAGTGTTTGGCAGAAGTCCGTGATTTTTCAGAATGTTGGAAGGTGCCCACAACTGGCATTAGTGTATTTTTTTTTTGTCACTTCAAAGAGCCTATGGATGGTCCTTTGCTTTTCCATTCAAGAGTAAGCTTAGGAATGCTTTGCTTCATTCTAGGTCAGGCTGCCTGCAGATATAGACTCTTTCCTCTGCTGCCATGTTGCCAGTTACATTAAATACAGTTTATGACAAGAGTTTATTAATACTGTAGTGTAGTCAATATCCGTGCAAGCATAACCAATGGCCCCCATGCAGAAAAAGATTCCATTGAGCCAATAGACAGCAGTGATTCCCTTAGTGATAGTGAAAGTTGTTCTACACAACAATCCTCCTCTCTCTCTCTTGTCTACCTCGCATCAGCCATGAAAGTTCTCAAAGGTAAATGCAGGTTAATTTATTTTTCTTTATATTTTGTATTTCTTTATTATTTTTCATTATATTACAATAATGTAATCATTTATATGAATATTTTTGGGTTGTGGAATGAATCCTCTGAACTTCCATTATTTCTTATGGGGAAATTTGCTTTGATATACAAGTGCTTTGGATTACAAGCATGTTTCAGGAACGAATTATCTTCACAAACCAAGGTTTTACTGTAATTGTGTTTCATACGCATTCTCTCCTCCCCACCCCTATGGTAACCACCCCTAACGCAAGTACTCACTATCTCTCATTTGAACACCTACTCTTCAGATAGCTTGGCCTCACAGTCTTCAATCTTCTTCTTTTAAATAGTCTTCTACACTAAACAAGAAGTAATCTTTGTAACCATGTATTTAGTCATACAATTCTACTTTTTATTCTCAACAAAGTCCAACATCTTTGACATAATACAGAAGCTTGTTTGTGAAGCCCCTTTCCAATATTGTTCTTTTTCCTTTCCCTCCTCATACCCTAGGGGACAGCCTGGTGTGTTCTATTCACCTTATGTCCTCCTGAACAGTGCTTAAGTATCTCATTTGTTGTCAAGCCTATACTGACTCCCTTTCAGAATAATGTAGCACATTCTCCTTTGGTCCCATGGTTCTATCATAGCCCCTAAATTGTTTGTTTGCATGGCTCACTCTGAGAGAGACTGTAAGGTCTTTGAAGATCAAGGCAGTATCTCATTAATGTTTGCTTCTCCAGTGTCTAGGACTATGCCCACATATAACAGAGGCTCAGTAAATATAAATTGAATGAATTTTATAAATTAATAAGAGAATGACTGAAATTAAGAATCTACATGTAGATAATTATGAATATTATATAGAAATTGAAAATTATCATGGAAGTATTTAATTCTCCAGTTTTAGGTAGTCAATAAATTTATCTTAAATGCTTCAGTTAATTTTGTAACCACTGTACATAGCTTATAAACTTTTCACTCTTCCAAAATTTCAGGACACTTATTACTTGAGTTTTTTTACTCTGCCCATAGAAATACATATGCTTTGAATCCTTGACTAGGATGTAAGCCAAAAACCATAGGTATACTTCCTTCCCTCCCTTGTTAACAGAGAACCATATTGTTCACACATTAACAGTCTACTTCTCCTCTTTCAAGTAAAGAACCAAATGTGAACTGATAAATGAGTTTTGGATGTTTCTTTCCAAAACTTTGCCCATTGAGCAAATACACACACACACACAGGACTGACCCACAAAAGAGACACAATCAAAAATTTTCAAGACATCCTCTGTTTATGTTTTATTATGTGAATATAAAGTCAACATCTCAGCCCAAGGCATTACTATATTAGAAGGTTCATGGAACTCATGAGTATATCATAGTAAAGATGTGATACCTTCCAAACTCCGAGGCTTCTATCAGAAACCTCTTCAAGAGCAGCTTTACTCTGGTTTCTGTTTTCCCTTACTTCCAACACCCCGTATCAAATCTCAGGTACTATATGGACAGGATTCAGCATCTTTCTCAGCATAGTTGAGAAGGTTGATAGAGTTTTCCTGATCTACCAACAACCATCTTATAATTATCTAAGGAGAGAAGAAAAAAAATCATGTTGACTTTCAAGCTATTATCTCATAAAGGTGATGTTCTGCCTCCTACAAGCTTCACAAAATCCATCTGAGACAAGATGGAGATCCAGGAACCCATCACCGTCAAATACTTAGGGGGTATAATTTACAATGCGGTCCCAGGAGTATGTTTATTCTTATTACTACACAAGTTTCCTGCGTATGGATCCAACTGGGTATTAACTCATCGCTTGCTAGCTCCTTTTCTTCTGAACATCCATCCCCAGGGCCCAGAGAAATAGAGACAGAGAGACAAACAACTTTTGTTCTCCTGGTAGAGATGGTATCTGTGTCTTATGTGTCCTTGTCTCATCTCCCCCAGGGACACTCAGGGACAATCTGGGTGGTTTGGGGTGAAGATGAGCTTGCTATAAAATCTTTACTGCTGATGTTCACAGTGAGAAGCCCCCAGGACCTGCATCAGCCTGTGTCAAGGGAACAGAGATAAGGCCTGCACCTGAAAGTCCCTCTTTCAGAGACAGTTGGAAGGGGTAAGTCCCCAGATCTTCAAAATCTCTGCCGACTTCTGTGCAATTTCCTCTAAATCTAATCCTATCTCTGAGATAAGACAAGGGCTGGTGCCACAGTGAGTAAAGGGCTTTTTTCAAAGTGCGGTAGTTGAAATAAGCTGGAGTCTGGAGGAAGGAAGGGCTCCAGAAATTAGCGTCTTGAACAGGAGGTACAAGGTCAACTTACGGGCAGGCAACTTTCTGGTCTTAAGATAGGGCTGAAATTTTCAGAGTTGGAATCATAAGCTGCCTATTGAGAATGATCATGTGTATCATGAATTGTCATTTAATAGGTGTATATGGAACATTTCAGGATTTACCTTTCTGTCATCCCTGTGGCCATATGGTTGGTGGAATGGCAGCCAGAGAAAATGAAAGAGACAAAGTCTTGATTAAATTCCAGGATAGGCACTTTGGATGTCATTCCTAGTGTAACGCCTATCTTCCAACCATCCACCCATCCATCCAACCATGCATCCATTCATCCATACATGCAACAAATGGGTGCTGTATTAGGAACTGTCTAAATGCAGTGGGGTGTAGGATCTATGCAGAACCAGGGAAGCAGTCCTGCAAGAGGGTAGGGTGGGGCAGCAGTAGAGGTATTACATGGTTAAGTCTTCACATGATAACCACTTGCCCTGACCCTATAAGATAAATTACTTCTATGAATGCTGGCCAGATTAGTGATGTTGCTCTGCTCATGCTCAAAAGGGAAACAGTCAGATTTTCCTGTGTAGCTTCAGAAAGTAAAAAATTTAGGGACGACTTCATTTGCTAAAGCCCCACAACTAGTGAACACAGCGGGAAACAGACCTCCTTGAAGTGGCATTTATAAATCTTATCCCCTAATTCATTCATTTATTTACTCTATTTTTTATTTTTTATTTTTTGAGAGAGGGAGGGAGAGAAAGTACACTAGCAGAGGAGGGGCAGAGGGAGAGGAGAAAGAGAATCCCAAGCAGGCGGGACTTGACCTCACCACTGTGAGATCGTGATCTGAGCTGAAATCAAGAGTCAGATGCTTAACCAACTGAGCCACCCAGGAGCCCCTATTTACTCTATCATTGATTGAGCACCTGCTATGTGCAATATACTCTGCACAAGTTATAAAATAAGTGCAAACCAAATGATAAAAAGGAAGTGGGAACAAAATTGGAAATCTAAATCAATTAGAAAGTAAAAGTATATGAGACTATGGCTATGGGACTTCCCAAATGAAACAGTCATGCTGGAAAACACATTATTCCGTGGCTGCCATCATAATAGTAAAAACATAGATCTTGCGATCAAAATTAAATAAAATTGTGTAGAAGTCCAAATAGTGCATGAAATCCTGTGCTCACTTGTACTTCTTACCTGAATAGATTTTTCTTTCTGCTTTACAGTGGATTAAAGGAGTTGACATAATGGCTCTGAAAAGGATTGCCAGCTGAGCGAACAGACAGTAAATACCTTAAAACCCCTCTTTCTGTTAAATAAGTAACCCAGATCAGAGTTTGTTCCTCAGCAGCAGTGACGGATACAGATACTGTTGTCAGGGAATGACAGAAAATCAAACATGGGTCACAGAATTCATTCTCCTGGGATTCCCACTCAGCCCACTGACTCAGGTGTTCCTCTTCGGGCTCTTCTCCCTGTTCTATGCCTTCACCCTGCTGGGGAACAGCACCATCCTGGGGCTCATCTGGCTGGATTCCCGACTGCACACCCCCATGTACTTCTTCCTCTCCCACCTGGCTGTTGTTGACATAGCCTATGCCTCAAATAATGTCCCAAAGATGCTGGCGAACCTTCTGAACAAGGAAAAAACGATCTCCTTTGTCCCATGCATAATGCAGACCTTTTTATACATGGCTTTTGCTCACACTGAGTGTCTCATCTTAGTAATGATGTCTTATGATCGATATGTGGCGATTTGCCACCCCCTACGTTACACTGTCGTCATGAACTGGAGAGTATGCACGGTTCAGGCTGTCATTTCCTGGGCATGCGGCTCCCTGCTGGCCCTGGTCCATGTGGTTCTCATCCTGAGGCTGCCCTTCTGCGGGCCTCATGAAATCAACCACTTCTTCTGTGAGATCCTGTCTGTCCTCAAGCTGGCCTGCGCTGACACCTGGCTCAACCAAGTTGTCATTTTTGCTGCTTCTGTGTTTATCTTAGTCGGGCCCCTCTGCTTGGTGCTGGTGTCCTACACGCGCATCCTGTTGGCCATCCTGAGGATCCAGTCCGGGGAGGGCCGCAGAAAGGCCTTCTCCACCTGCTCCTCCCACCTCTGCGTGGTGGGGCTCTTCTTTGGAAGCGCCATTGTCATGTACATGGCCCCCAAATCCCACCACCCCGAGGAGCAGCAGAAGATCCTTTCCTTGTTTTACAGCCTTTTCAACCCTATGCTGAACCCGCTGATCTACAGCCTGAGGAACACCGATGTCAAGGGCGCCCTGAGGAGAGTGCTGTGGTTGGAGAGATCAATGTGAGGGATGCCAGAGATGGTCTTGACGGTGGAAGAGTTGTTTTCTATGACATTTGGGGTGATGATAATACAAATGCCTTACAAATCTCATGTATAAGATTTTCAATATTAAAACTATATATTGATCAGATTCTGTCCCTAAGCATGGGGTACTTCCAGACCACAAGGTGTAAGCAGAAAATCACAAAGTACAGGCCATAAGAAAATTGTGTAGTGATGAAACACTGGAGCGGAGAGCCATGGACTCCTATGGCCAATCCCCAGAGCTACCTAAGATCCAGTTTCTTTTGAGGCTTTTTTGTCTGACATCTCCCCTTAAGTTCATCTAAGATTTCCATCTCCTTTATTGCTGTAAGTATATGCTAATAATGCCATGATCGATTCTGTACAATAGTACACCTCTAGCAAGACAGAATAGTGACCTTGTTAAGCAGTCCCCTCCTAGGAAATACAGTGAGGACTGTGGGTAGAACCAACACCCTCATCTGGAACTTAAAGTCTAAGCAGGATGACATTAGTTCTGAAAAATTATGTGCATCAGAGCCTGAGGAGTCTATTCCTGTGAAAAGCAAAGTTTAATTTTATGGGTTTTTTTTATATGTATATGAGAGGCAGAGAAATATCAGGATCTTTGTTTCATCTTATTTAATTATGCTCCATTTACTTTAAAAGAGTATGTATTTGGAATAAATACGAAGATTCAGTTATTAGGGAGAGTTGCTTTGTCCAGTGTTCAGGTTACAAAGCCGGATGTAGGTAACAATTGACCATTAGGAGGATGGCATAAAATGTCACAGAAGCAACAAAATCTTGGAGGGATTTCTTCCAAGGGAGGCCAGCAGCTTAACATAATGTTGTAAACTCAAATTTAGAACCACTAACATGACAAAGTCTGATAAAGATTTGTAGGAACCTCAACAAAATTCTAAGTGATATTATGCTCTAAGTGATATTACTCACTTATTCTGGACCCGAGTGGTCAGAATGATAAGAGCAATTTGTTTCCTTGTATCCACAAGTTTGGGACCTAAGTGGCCAACAGAGTATGACAACAGGGATTTCTTTTTTTTTTTTTTTCAACGTTTATTTATTTTTGGGACAGAGACAGAGCATGTAAGGCAGGGGGAGGGGCGGAGAGAGGGAGACCTGGGAATGGGAAACAGGCTCAGGCTCCAGGCTCTAGACCATCAGCCCAAATGGGCTGAACTCACAGGACGGGGATCGTGACCTGGCTGGACAGCAACCCGACTGGCCCTTGAAGCTATGAGGATTTCTTTAAATTTTTTTTTTTTTTTTTTTTTTTCACGCGTTATTTATTGTGGGACAGGAGAAACAGAGCATGAACAGGAGGGCAGAGAGAGAGAGGGAGCACAGATCGAAGGAGCAGGCTCCAGGTTCTTCGAGCCACATTGAGCGACAAGGGGCTCGAACTCCACTGGACAGCGGATCTCGTGTTAGCTGAAGTCGGACCTTTCGATACACGCCACCAAACCCCAGGGATTTCTTTAACACGCTCAGTGTGGCGTCTTTTGAATTCTCTTCCTCTCTACTCTGGGATATCACATGCCATTCAGGTGTGTGATATATGTGATTGTACATTATTTCCACTTTCTGTAGATCTTTCTATTTTTTTCCACATTCTCTCGTGTATCATTATCAGTCTCCCTTTTTCTTCTTGCATGAAATTAAGATGCACAGGGAAACCTTTGTCTTCCATTTCTCCCCTAATGCACTATTTTCCTCTTGCTTCTCAAAAAGACTGGTTGCTGACTATTCCCTTCCTTGACTGTTCTACCTGCTAGTGCATTTGGGCAAAACATTTTGTCTCTAGCCATTATCTTAGTCTCCATATATCCAGAGTATCAGGACATTGCTTGTTCTGTCCTTTTATGCTTGCTCTGCTCCCCCCCCCCCAAAAAAAAAAACTTGCCTTGCTTCCTTCTCCTCCAAAAAAGAATAATTTGAATAAAAAAATATTGGCTCCAAATGTAACAATAAGCACTATGGAGTTACTGCATGACGTATTTTAAAGGTAGAAAGAAGAAAAACAAGCAATATTTTTTATAAAAATAATGTTTTAACTATACCTAGAAAATTACTATCGTCACTAAAATATGTATACCTTAAATTAAGGTTAAACCAAAAGAAGAAAGAGGAAGAGGTAAATATAGGATAATGTGTCTCACACAAAACATAATCCGTAAGTATGAATTCAGAATGTTTCTACAAGGACCCAATAGAAAACTCAGGGGATTGCATTTATTTTTATGTGAGTTCAAAAATACTTGAGAAAAAAATAGATGATAAAGGCCAAGCTTCTCCCTACATAACTAGTGTAGATGAATAATGAAGAGATGTCCTCCAGCAGGTCTAAAGAGCAGCTCTGACTCAAAAGGAGAAAACAAAAGCAAAACCATATTTTGTTAATAGATTACAGAAAACTCCTGAGTGTATGGGAGATTACCATTAATCGTTTCAGTATTTGAGTTATAGGACTTTATTTTTTTCTTCCAAGATTTTCTTTATTTATTTACTTATTTAAGATTATTTATTTATTTTGAGAGAGAGCATAAGTGGGGAAGGGGCAGAGAGAGAGAGAGAGAGAGAAAGAATCATAAGCAGGCTCTGTGTTGTCAGCACAGAACTTGATGTGGGGCTCTCCCACAAAGCATGAGATCATGACCTGAACCAAAATCATAAGTCAGAAGCTTAATCGACTGAGCCACCCAAGCACCCCTCTTCCAAGATTTTATTTAAATTCAAGTTAGTTAAAAAATATAAATAAATAAATTAATGAATTAATTAATTCAAGTTAGTTAACATATAGGGTAGCATTGGTTTCTGGAGTAGAATTTAGTGATTCATCACTTACATACAACACCAGGGCTCATCCCAACAAGTGCTCTCCTTAATGCCCATCACCCATATAGCCCACCCCCCACCCACTTCCCCTCTAGCAACCCTCAGTTTGTTCTCTATAGTTAAAAGTCTTTTATGGTTTGCCTCCCTCTCTGTTTTTATCTTACTTTAGTTTTCCTTCCCTATGTTCACCTGTTTTGTTTCTTAAATTCCACATATGAGTAAGATCATATGGTATTTGTCTTTCTCTGACTTTCTATTTCACTTAGAATAATACACTCTAGTTCCATCCACGTCGTTGCAAATGGCAAAATTTCATTCTTTTTTATGTCTGAGTCATATTCCATTGTATATACATCTTCTTTATCCATTCATTGGTCGATGGACATTTGGGCTCTTTCCATAATTTGGCTATTGTTGATAGCACTGCTATAAACATTGGGGTGCCTGTGCCCCTTCAAATCAGTATTTTTACGTCCTTTGGATAAATACCTAGTAGTGCAATTGCTGGGTCATAGGGTAGTTCTATTTTTCACTTTTTGCAAAATCTCCATACTATTTCCCAGAGTGACTGCACCAGTTTACCTGATTTTTTTTTTTTTAGCTGTTAACCTTTTTAAGTCTTTATTTCCAGTTCATGTAACATTTGTGTATTAATTACATGATAAGCAGTCGTGTTTAAAAAACATATATTTTTGGCATGTGGCTTGTAGAATTTTTTAAAAAGTGATGTTAGATTTGTTTTCTTTTTCTTATGTGGAAAGCAGATGGGTGCTATCAGAGCCTCTCCCTCATCACCATAGTGTAATATCGTTCTCACACCACACTGAAATGTATGCAGAATTGCTTTAGCTTTATTCTTTATTCAGAGGTGTTTCAAATGTACTGATGCTACCATTTCTTGCACTGAATATATATATAAACACTCCAAAGTGTATATGTGGGGGAAATTTGAGGAGGAAGTAATTCGTAAAAGATGAAGGCTGTATCTGTTTATTTTATTTATCTTCAATTTCTTACTGGTTCACTGAAATCCTCACGAGGGTGGGATGAATTTTTCTTGCTGTTCAGTGCTTTATCTTTTTCATCTGTTGTTCTGTGGTCACAGTGACCCGGGCTATGTAGCAGACTTTCCCAAATGTATTGAGTGCAAATAAACAGGTACTTAGGGGCGCCTGGGTGGCTCAGTCAGTTAAGCGTCCGACTTCAGCCATGTCACGATCTCGCGGTCCGTGAGTTCGAGCCCCGCGTCAGGCTCTGGGCTGATGGCTCAGAGCCTGGAGCCTGCTTCGGATTCTGTGTCTCCCTCTCTCTCTGCCCCTCCCCCATTCATGCTCTGTCTCTGTCTCAAAAATAAATAAACGTTAAAAAATTAAAAAAAATAAATAAACAGGTACTTAGCAAGACCTGAAAAAAAAAAAAAAAGCGCTAGTCCAGAAACGACAATGCAATACTTTTTTTGAGTATTGGGTTGTTTGTGTTGGGCATGGTGTATGAAGGAAGTAAGCATGGAGTAACTACCTTTTCCTTGGAGGAATCCACATGGAGAAAATTACACTTAAAATAGTCTTCCAGGCTGTTGTTTGTGAGATGCAACTCTGCGTGCCTGGCTGCCCATCTTTCTCTCTCCTCCCACTGAGTGTCAGCCATCAACACGAAGCACACATTCTCTGCCCCTCTGTGCTTTAAGTTGCATGAGGGCTGGGTCTTGTCAGGAAGGCCTGTTGTTTGATAGTGTTTCCTATGACAAGACAGTGGGTTCAGTTCTGGGTAAGGAGTTAACAAATCTATTTGGTACCACATCCAAGTCACATCCTCCTTGTGTCTCTCCCTTAATTAGTTCTCAGTAGAAATGATGTAGAAGCTTGTTCTTCAATGATAAATCTGAAAACCCCAGCATATTGTACCCAAGCTTACAGTTTAGATTAACCACATTGGGGCATTTGGATTGTTGATTTCAGTGGCCTACAGTTGCTTGTGCTGTGTGGGTAGGGAGCTCTGAGGGACACTGGGAGCCTAGACCAGGGGGAAAGGGACTTGCTCCTTCCTGTTTGCTTGCTGGTCTTGTCAGGTTGGCTCAATCTCTCTTTAGCTTGCCAGTGGCAGCTGATGTCTGTCACTGCAGCCTTTGTTTTCTGACTTCCC